TTCCCAGGAGTGGCTGATGGATCTGAACCACCAGCCTTCTGGTTAGCAGTCAGATGCCTTAGGCACTATACTACCAGAGCTTCCACTTTAAGTACAGAAGGATCTATTGTGTGGCTTAGCTGCTCTTGGGTATAGTATCTATCTCTAATCAGTTGGGACTAGAGTGGGGACTACGGTATAAAACATGGCCACTTATAGCTGCCTTTTAAGTAGTGCTGCAGATGAGGCAATTTTCTTAGAAGGTGCTTCCATGATACAAATCTGTGGCTCCACTTCTGTTCAAAGTACTATGTCTTCCGGCTATAACTATTCTCTTTGCTCCAACTCAGCCCCATTTCTTTGTCCTTCTAGGAAAGCATCTTTTCCCTCTGCTTTCCTACAGTCTTGGTTATAAACTTTACAAAAGCAGATTGCCAGGTCTTTTTCCTGCTTGGTCTCTGAGTGGATTTGAACAGCCAACATTTTGGTTAGCTGCTAAGAGAGAATTTTTCTCTGGATTTTGCCTTATTAGCACGTTGGATAAAATTGAGCTAATTTAGTAAGAAATAAAGCCAACCTTTCACTTTGTGTTGGCACTCAAACTAACCCCTGCTTTCTACTTCCCTTGCCTGTTGGACTCTGGGGACAGACAGCACGCACACTTCCTTAACCTGGAGGCCAGGCTTATAATGGTAGCTTTTCTGTGGCTGTCGTGCCCTCTGCTGGATGAGGAGAGGGATTGTGGGAGACATAGACTTCTGGGAAGGGCCAACTTTCTGAAAGGCAACATAATCAGGTGACCGGATTTCCCTTGGCTGTTTGTTCCCCAGAAATCAGGTCTACAAGGCTGTAATCCAGCCTCACAGTTTAGACCTTCCTGGTAAATACAACTGATTGACTTACAGAACGTTAGAAGTTGTCTCTGTGCATACCTGTTTGAGTTTCTTTATTCATAAAAGATGAAGAGATGATATAAGAAAGTCCAAGTTGTCTAGTAATAATAATAAAAATTTCTTAGATAAATTGATCTTTAGGACTTAATAAAGTTTATCAACTGGCTAACAATAGATCAGTAAGGTAACAAAAGTGTGTGCCAGTTCAGAGGGGTCTGGAAATTGCTGAGTTATATAATTGACATACAGAAGACTCATATAAATAGCTAGTTTAAGGCATGTGTGTGGGGGGAGTAAATCCCTATCTAGGTAAAGATTGTAGTTTTGTTACATATGGTTGCAAAATACCATATTCAATTCAGTTATTACAGAGGAAATATGACTCAGGAAGGTCTGCAATGCCAGGGATATTGGCTGTCAATCAGATACTTAAAAATTGAAGATGAAAATCAAGAGAGGGAAAATGCAGAAGAGAATTTCAAATTCTTATGGTATTCAGACCTTCCGGAGCCATAGAGGTTGAGTGAAACTATTGCCCTGAGACAATTAAACCTTAAACTGTCACCAAAAATAGGAGCTCTGGTGGCCTAATGCCTAAGGCATTTGATTGCTAACTGGAAGACTGGAGGTTCAAACCCACCAGCCACTCCTCAGAAGGAAGGCTGGGCAATCTACTTCTGTAGTGAGCTGCCTCGGAAATCCAAGGACTCAATGGCAGTGAGTTTGGTTTTGGTTTGGTCAACCAAACATATCCCCTGAAGTCTTCATAAAATGAAGTGATAGTTTAGTTCAACTAGTATAGAGTATCTTGAGCATTGTGATCTTTTAAGATCTACCTATATGGGATCAAAATGACAATGTTGTTGTTGTTGCTATGTGCCGTCGAGTCAAACCCGACTCATAGAGACCCCTCCTTGGGTTTCCGAGGCAGTATCACTACGGAAGTAGATAGCCCCATTTTCCTTCCGAGGAGTGGCTGGTGGGTTTGAACCGCCAGCCTTCTGGTTAGCAGTCAAGTGCCTTAGCCACTATGCTACCAGAGCTCCCAATACAGAGTTTACCCCTTATTTATTTATTTTAGGATAAACATTTTTCTCTGAAATTAGTATTATCAGGAACTGAACTTTTCCACATAATTTAATATTCCAGATAACTGAAATTTGTACCTTTAGGTCATTTCATTTTGGATTGAAATGATGCAGAAAAATGAAGAGAATAAAAACGAACCTAAATCCCATTATCCAGATGTTAGGTGACCATCATTCCAAATAGTCTTTATGTGTACATGCAAATGGGAGATTAGATGGATATATGGATAGATAGATAAAGAACAGACTCACAATACATTTTCTGAAAATTTTGGGGCCAAACATGTTGTGAAATTTGGAATGTTTTGTATTTTGGAAAAACAACGTTTTATGTATCTCATAACATCCCCCAAGGAGCTCTGGTAGCATAGTGGCTAAGGCACTTGACTGCTAACCAGAAGGCTGGCGGTTCAAACCCACCAGCCACTCCTCGGAAGGAAGGTTGGGCAATCCTACTTCCGTAGTGATACTGCCTCGGAAACCCAAGGAGGGGTCGCTATGAGTCAGGGCTGACTCGACGGCACATAACAACAACAACAACAACATCCCCCAGTAGAGTCTGGGGAGGCACTCCATAATTAGGTCTATTAACATTTCTGCATATGAATATTTATACTAAGTGAGATTTACAAAAGACTACAAATAGCCACACTTAAATTCAGGATAGATTCTTCTGCCAAATTACTTTATTAAAAATTATTTATTTTCACAGCTTTTTAGATTACAGAATTGGAGGAATTGTGGGAGTGTGTTTTTATAAAATGTATATGATACATGTAACCTTTCAGAGAAAAAGTAATCAATTTAATTGTACTTATAATTGTCAGAAAGAAAAGAAACTGAAGTGAAAGCAAAGGAAATGCTGAACTTTACCTGTTTCCTTTTTCCATTTTATTGTGGTAAATATATATATATATATATATATATGGAGCTCTGGTAGCATAGTGGCTAAAGCACTTGACTGCTAACCAGAAGGCTGGCGGTTCAAACCCACCAGCCACTCCTCGGAAGGA